AGCCGTGTTTTCGTGAATACAATATCAGATATTACCAAAAAAATCAATTGAATTAATTTGAATTAATCAAGATTGATGATATCGAATTTTTATCAGCGAATTTCCGTGAAAGGATGATAATAGATAGAAATGTTTTTATTATATAATTATATTCTTTAATTCCTTAATTCTCTTATATTCTTTAATTATATGTATAGAATTTTTTTTAATGAGTAATTTTATTATTGCATATATCTAAATGTTATCCGTAAAGTGCATTATTCAAAAAAACAAATGTTATATAATTTTTTTATATTTAAATAAGTATTAAATAAATATTAATGTGTATCAAATTCAAATTTTGAAAAAAAAATTTCATACGCATTGGTTTAATAAAAGATTTAATAAAAAATATATATTGAAAAATAATTTAATATTTATTTAATTCTCTTATCTCACTTTCGCTTTCTCGAGCAATCTTATCGTTATTTTTTCCTTAACGAAATTTTATTCTATCCTTATTGATATTATAAATAAACCTATGAACAACGTTTAAAAATTCATTAAGAAAAAAACGTGAAAATCATAATTTTGATAAAATAAAAAACAACATTTTGATTAAAGTTTTATTTTATTATATAGTATTATATTCATTTTATTTAATTTTCACGCAAATAATATTAATTGTAAATTAAAATAATATTAATAGAAATGATTTTCTATAAATATCATAAATCTCCCCTTTTTTTCAATTGATATTGGTACATCATATATAACAATAATAATTTGAATTTTATTTTTAAAATATATAATTTCAATTTATAATTTATATAATGCTTGATAAATTTTAATGAAGTTAATTCAATCATATTCAATCTTAATTCAATCTTATTAAAATATTAAACGATATAAATAGAAATATAAAAGATAAAATTTAGTAATTTACTTCGAAAAATTAATGAAAACAGTTAACATTAATGAAGTATTCGAATCAGAATAAATGATACAAAAAATCTATCTACAGTATAATTTTCTAGGATCAATAAAGTAATCAATAAAAAAAAAAAATGAAAATCAAAATAAATATTTCTCCAATTTGAAAAAAATTCTTAAATAAACTTGCAACTATAAAGCTAAAATCTAATAACAAAACTTTTTGATCAAAAAATAATATTTTAAAAATATATTGGCATAAAAATAAATTTATTATGAAAATTGACAAAAATAAAAAAACTCACTTCAAAAAATCTGACACTACAAATCAATAAAAAAGAAAAAAGAAAAAAAGAAAAAAAAGAAAAAAAGCAAAAATTCATAATTAATAAGAGTAATTCGCTGTGATAAGACGTATAACATATACATATAATAACATTTTACCCGGGAACATTTCCCTTATTTGTATTCTACGAGGGAAAGCATGATAGGAGCCAATGGAGAAATCACAAAAGAACCGTTCAGATAAGTCACGTTCACCTTGACGGACTCTCGGCCCGTTCTATAAAAGAGACGTACACCTCCTCGATAGCACAGTCACAATCACAGCCACAGTGAAATCGTAACCCAAGATGTTCCGCACAATTGCCGTTGTCCTCGTCGTGGCCCTGCCACTGATTCAGGCCTCCTCTATCGATATCTCTCAGAGAAGCAAATACCACTTGGAATTCACCAGCAAAGATGCCGTGCAACAGACTAAATCGGTAAGTTCACCGACTAACTATCACCCCAATCTATTTTTCGCTTTCGAAGATTAAACGATTATTTTTTTTTTTTTTTTTTTTTGATTGGAAGATTATAAATCAGATGAGATGTCATATTGTTTAGGATATTTATAATATCTTATAAGTTTAAAATTTTATTTTCAGGTAAAGTTAGCCTTTGTATTTGAAAAATTTTGAATATTTTTATTCTCGTACTTAAGTAATAAAATAATGCTGTGTTTAGCTTGATTCAAGAATATCTATATTAATTTTCATTCGAAAACTAATTTTTCTTATATATGTATAGTTCAATCCTTTACTTGGAGAACGCGCAAGTGGATTCATTGGTGACCTCACTATCGGTTCACACCGGTCAGACGAACAAGTTTTTTACCGAGAAATCGAAGTGAACAATCCTGATTCTAGAGTAGGTTTCTTGGAGTTGAAATTGAGTGTCACGAACGGTAAGAATTCTTATTTCTGTTGTATTTCCAATTCTTCGTATCATATATTGCATATCTTGAGAAAATATTAACTCGAGAAAAAAGATGGGATTCTAAGCTCGATAATTGAGTTCAAAAAGTAACACTTTTCGAAAGTAACTTAAACAATAACTTAATTTTACTCAAATATCTTTTTACAGGAATCCTTCACTATGTCAGTGCTGTAAACTATTCTGGCAGCCAAGCAGTTGTCTGCGACAAACCAAATACTTTAGGAGGAAGCGAAGGTCTCATTAACATTCGTCTTCAAGGAAATAGCAAAGCTATCCTGAGTTTAATCATTGCTGCTCATTAAACGAATTTTAACGATTTTAAATTAAATCATACCAGTTTTAAAAAATAAGCTAAATTTTCTATATTTTTGCAGATGATAAATTTTAAAATATATATTTTATATGTAAATAATCATGAATATGTTAAATTCAATTTTTGTAGCATTATAAAATATTTAAATAAAAAATTGAATTTGTTACTCTTTATTTTTAGATAAAATAATTTTCCATCGTATTAATCATTAATATTAATTTCCTTTGAAAATAAATTATTATTTGCTAACTAGATATATAATAAATATGATAGAAAATTTTTTTATGATATTAAATAAAAAAATCTTTTATATTTAATCTCTTATGTTTTTCTATCACTTTATTGTTTATATGTTATTTTATCACTTTCAAATATCCAATTCATATTTATTTATTGAATTATGTATATATCTTTGTTAATCTAACATTCCAATTCTTTTTTTTAATTATTCAATTCTGTTAATCACTATTATATAACCAAAGATAACTCAGTCACATCCTCTGCTCATAATATATACATAATTATAGAAATTAATTTATAATGATCAACAAAATCAACAAAATAATGCAATAATAATATTAAATATATAAATAGTGTATTTTTTTAAACATATATAAAAGATTTATATCGTTATTCAATGATAAAGTTATCAAATTCTTGAATCATGTGACATCAACATCGGTAGCTTTGATTCACCACATGAATATAAACAAAGCAGTAGATTCGAACAATAAATTTATTTTTTTTTTTTTTCATTGATCTTCGCGTATTATCGGTGGGTGTCATGCGATCATTTCTCCTTACTTCATGAAACGTTCCTTGGCTCGTGATCCTTAGATATAAAATAAATAGAACGAAAGGATATGGTGGAGGCACAAGAGGACTCTTCCGGAGAGATTCTTTCGTTCGAGGTACATTAGTTACGATCGACCTGGAAATTTCTCAATAGAATTACCAATAAACTGTATTTCTTGACCGTAAGGGAAGCTTTTCATCCGTTAACCGAGACTTTTCCTCTCTGTTGAAAAAATACGGCCACGGATAGATAGAGCGGAGACAACGTAACAAAAGTAGACCACGATTTAAAATATTCGTCACGTAACTGTGTGTTCGTAATGTCCTTTTCACAAGGTTTCTTTCCCACCGTGAAAAACATATTTATATTCAACGAATGTAATTATTTATATTTAGAAAAATTAGATAAGGTAAATAAACATCTTTGTTTTAATATTTATGATTTCATTTATATAATATATGTGTATCCAATATTATGATATAGATGAAAATGTAATTTTAGAGAAAGAATAAAGGGTTTATAAATATTTTTTATAAAATAGAAAAATATTTAAAGAAATTTGTATAATACAAATGCATCTTAGATTTATCCAAGATCGAAATACCTATATATATTCTGAATTCAATTTCAATCAAGAAAGAGCAATCCCTTGAGGTAACTTAATGAAGACTGTTCCTTCAGGATTTCTCTTTTTCTCGTCCAATAATTATATAATACTTAATGAAATGCTGACGAAATACATAATACATTTTTGTATATTCTACGTTTATCATTAATAATTTTAGAGTCGATGAACTTAGATAATAAAAAAAAAAAAATGGATATTCACCTGACTGGCTTCTAAATTATTTGACATACATAGTAGATTAACGAAGCGTTATTGAATATCGAAGTACTACAGCTTCGAATCGTTCTTAAGAAGTTCCGTATCCTTTAAGTAAATTTTAAAATAAATAGAACGTCACACATTTTCAATAAAAAATTTTAAAAAATTATGAATATAATAAAAAAATGTATTAATTACAAAAAAAAATATACGAATAACTTCATATTATATTTGAAAAAAATTTCAAATATACAAATACACAGAATCGATAATCGACAAGTTAAAATTTACGTAGGCAAATTTTGTAACAATAGTTATTGCCACGACAATGTAGTGCCGAATGATAGAATATTACATTATTATTTTTTTCGTATTTCTCTGTAGTAGGAAATATTATATAAAGCTTGTATGATTGATGAAGTTTTCCATGTTTTAATCGACACGAATATAAATGGAAAATAGCGTACTATTTGAATGCATGAATCGATCATCGTGTACCAAATTGATCATTATTGCACGTTGAGGATAAAACAAACTCTGCTGTCTTGAATATAATTCATTGTAGGAATTAAAAAAAGAATAAAATATCTAACGATCAAAATTATCATTGTCACCCAAAAAGATGCAAAGATTCAATCTTTCTTCCAAATTTCCAAATTTTTCAAATTTGATTCCATTTCAAATAACTCGTAAATTATTTACAATAAAATTTTTTATTAAATTTTTAAATTTTATTTCTCTTAGTGAAGAACAACAAAAGGAATAAATGCTGTAAAGCAATCACTCTTCTACTTACGTTCTCCTCCTTCGCACAACAGATCCTCTTCGAAAACGAAAAAGATCGGGGACATTTTATTCACATCCACTCGCCGATTCTCCTTCATCTCCTCTAAAAAAAATTTTCCGCAATCGAGAAACATCGAACCTTTCCACGCATGATACGCGCGAGCATCGAAGAACCCTTAAACGCGAAGAGTCTTGTAATGAGCTTAGTGAAGAAGCCTTATCGATTCACCCACGATACAGAGTAGGAAAACCGGCAACCAGTAGTCGGTGACGATCGTTTCGTGCGCCACGACACGAGAACATCCAATAGAGAAGATCCGTGGAAAAGTTTCGAATTTTGGTGCAAAACTGATTGATTGATTCATCGAACTTGGTTCGATGATCGATGGAAGACCGATTTGTCGCGGTGAGTTCTTGCGCGTCCGAATAATTCGGTTTCATAAAGCGACATCGGTTTCATAAAGCACACAGCGTCTAAATTGTACGTCGAGTGGAAAAGAAGCAGAGATAAAGGAGAAAAAAAGGGGGAGAGGGTGAATAATGATCGACTAATCGTGAAATATCGTGTTGGAGATACGGTTGATCACGAATCGTTATCTTTTTACTTCTATCGTGCGGTAAATTTTGGGCAAACGATTCGTGTTTGAATATCGTTGAGAGGATTTTCTTTGACGACGAATCTTTGTAATTACGATCTTTTTATTTTTATTTATCGCACGATAAATTTTGTGATTTATGACGAATGATGAATTTGGCGTTTGGATCGTTGAAAGGATTTTTTTTTCGGTAACCAGTTTGCTTTTGTTGGGGGATGAAAAATTTGAAAGACGATATAAAAGACGATAACATGATATAAAAAATATCGTTAATAATCTTGGATTAGATCTTTCGAGTATATAAGTTTTTAGGCTAGATTGTACGTTTATGCAACAACGCTAACTTTTGGACGTTTAAGTTTAAATCGTGTTTAAACCGAGCAGAGAAAGGACGAACCAGTTTTAAGTCTGGGAAGAAAAATTTATCGGCGTGCACTTTGCCATCCTGCTTATACGAAAACAAGCTTATATTTATTCATGAGACAATTACAATATGCTGATCTAGTTTAAGATGCAATTTTAGGGATTGAACTGGCTGGATGTTTTCTTTATGGATTTCGTAATAAAATTAAATTTGATTAAAAAGAGGGAGTAAATGATATTAAAGTCGAATGTAGATTGGAAATTTTTGGCAATCATTCTATTCTATTTCTCTATTAATTGTGTAACGTTAAGGATTGTTAAGGGAAAAAGAAGAAGACACTGAAGAAAATTCTTATAATTGTTCCTTAATTAACTATTTTTGCCAAAGGCAGTCCAACTTTTGTCATACATTATGCAAGTTTGAAGAGAAATAATGGAAGACTAAACTTCGGTAATTAGAGGCTCGATAGAGAGATTCAAGTTTTCGAGAAGAAACAAGGCCAAGATAAAGGATTGGAATTTTAACCAATAGTAATAGTGCTAACATCTTGGATCGAACAAATTTGTGAAAACGATATTAATTTTATGATTTTCCTAGATTCATAAAATAATTTTATTTCTAATATCAGCAATATCATCAATAAATTCATTCTTCAATCTCTTATTTTGAAAGAATAAGTATCATTGCTCGATTAACAATGAGGTTAATAATAATTGTATGACGTTTAAAGAAGGAATGAAAAATTTAGATAACATTATGATTTATTAAATAATCTGAAATTTAGAGAAATATAAAGAAACCATAGAAACCATCGTTCGTACGTAACTTTTTCTTTCATTGATTTCGTTTTTAGTTTTTGTTTCAATAGCAAGTAATCACCACGAGGATGTGTCACGAGCTAAATGTAAATAGCGCGAAATAGTACTTCATCCAGCGCTAATTTTACGGTGTGTTTTCAAATAGAAATTATTCACTTGTTGAATTTTTCCAGAAAATTTCCAACATTTACAATAGTTATTTTCAGAAACTGTTATTAATCTCTTAATCGACTAGTTTCGAACCATTTATCAATCTTTCTTATACAGAAATAGAAAAATTCTTAAACAGATCCGGAACTTGAACGAAGATAAATTTGAATCACCTCTGATATCTTCAATCCACATTCTCTACTTTAACCTTTTTTAATATTCCACCTTTATCAATCTTCTTTTTTCCTTCTTTTTCAGATAGAAGTAGAAAGAACAGAAAATCTTTTGAACAGATTCAAACTCGGGCGAAGAAAAAATTTGAAGTCACCTCCAATACCCTTAAATCCACATCTCAAATTTTCTTATGTCTTAAGTTCACATTTCTCGATATTCTTCAAATTATATTCACACTCCTTTCAAAAATTCATACCGTTAAAAATTCATTCTTCATTTTTTCTTAACCTTTCTCATCTGCTCGCAATTATCCACATCTAATTATTTACATCAAATTAAATTTTTCCAACGTTCTTCTCTCCATCAGCGTTACACGTATTCTAATAAATAATTAATATAATGGATCTTTAAAAAAAAGCTTGATTCTTTTGGTCCATCACCTTTCCAATCCTCAATCTAATGGAGCACGATCGTTTCGAAATTATGGTATCTTGTTGATGCATCCGCATGACAGTTTCAGGGTAATCGATGCGAGCTAAATGAACCAGATTCGAGTAACGCCCACCCCCTTAACTCTTGTCTTCGAAATGTCGAAAGCCGATTCACGTGCATTAGCGCGCAGAGGCGGCATATTTCACGCGTTCCAGCACGTAGGGAAGACAACACGAGTACACGATCGTGATCGTATGATGTACATATGCATTACGTACGCGCGTGATTCATTTGGAAAATACTGATCTGAAACGCGGGTGATGCTTTTGAAGAGGACGAGCATCCATTTCTACGCCCACTATTCTCTCTTTTTCTCTCGACACTTCTTTTTTGCCACTCGAAAAATTTGTTCAATCAGTAAAAATCGGTATTATATAGCCGATATTTTTGTAAAACTCTACCTTTCGTCTCGCTGGAACTTGGTTCTCTTCTTTATTTTCTTTTTTAATTTTGTCGAAAGTTGAAAGTGCGTAGGCGAGGACGGAAAATAAATTAGCTGCACCCACGCTTGAAGAACAAAGATGAATAATGGAAGCTTGTTTATTTCTTCTTTTGTCCATTTGTAGTTTTTTTTTTAAATTCAATATGTGGAATGAAATTTCGTTATCGTTTCGTTTTAATTATTTTTATATTTTATATATGGTTCGATATTGTATTTCATTTGAAATTTAGTTTAAGAAATTCTTTTTTTCAATAAATACTTTAATTATATTTCTTTTTTAATTTTTTTAATTTTGAAGATATGATAAATATTCGATGATTATTATTTTTTACGCGAATTGAGAAAGGAAAATTTTTATTAATAATACAATTAGTAGGAAGTAATACAATATTTAATATAGTCGTTACGTAATATTGATGTTAGTTGAATAATGAAAATTAAATATATCCAAGAATATGAATTAAAAATATTCGAAGTTCCATTTTTACCGTGAACCCTTCGACTCTACAATGTATTTTAGGCACGCTTACTATAGGCACATGGAAAGCTGTGGCTTCAGAAAAGCGATGTCTAAAATTAGTCTTAGATACAATATTTCGCGTGAAACTTGAATTGACAAGAATAACTCACACAATGGGATAAAAACAAAATTTCCAATTTCCTCCACTTTTCGAGCTAATTCCATCGCTCATTCAAAATTTAATAATTTCCAGATGATATCCGCATAAAAGCAATGAAGAAAAAAAACGGCAACAATGAAAACAAGGGTGGAAAGGGTCGACAAAACGAAACGAAAGATTCAGAGAAGAAAAATAATGATAAGAAGAATGATGACAAAAATGATTCATTAGATGAGTATAACGAAGGTTTCAGCGAGTGGCTGAGATCTAGCGATGGTTTCGAGACGATGCGACTCTTTGTCATTGCTAATTCTATCATGATCTTCGTCACGATGGGAATACCGAAAATACAGGAAATTATCAGTATTATCAAAGATTATTACTATGAAACGTAAATGACAGTTTTGAGAGACAAAAATGTTTCTTGAAAACTTCGGTATACCAATGAGAAATTGACAACGATGCAACTGATATTTCCATCGCATTTCCATTAAAAATTCGATATTTGACGACTACGTGCAAATTATCCTTTATTTCCTGAGAACATAAACTCTAGACTTACGATCGTATCGACGTAACACGTAACATGAATCAAAGATGGTAACGATACGGAAATATTTTAATACATGTATCAACTATCGACATGTATCGATATTCGAGGTCATAACTTTTTAAAATAATTTCTTTATGAATATTTATCTTTCAACAAGCAAAATATATCATAATCGCCAAATTATACACGCATTATTATCAATTTCAATCATTCGATCAAGCAATAAAATTCAAAAGAAAGAAAACAACACTCAATAAATGATCATGCTGGGATTGATCTTTCGTGGCGTCTTTCTCATCGGTATACTCACCTGGTACAGCACCAGCGTGTGGAAAATGATCGACGGCTACTTCAAGGATCAGTTTCGAAGCTACTTGGAAGAAGAGTATCGAAAGAATCCGCGAATGAGATCCGATGTGCGGAGTGGCTCGGCCGATAAGATCGATCCCGCTTCGACCACGCCACGCCCCGACCCATCAGTGGCGCCGCAGCGAGAGATTCTCGAACTCAACGAAACGTTGACGGTCGAAGGTGCAGGAAATGACACAATTCGATCGGACGAGGGGCAACGAGTGACAGGTGGCACCAGTGAAAACGAGGCCGACACAGGGGGATCTATCGATAAAAATGCATTCCTAGAAACGATCGTGGAATCGGGGCTGGAAAGTAGTAAGCCGTCCAAGAACGAACAGGATTCTCGGCAGCCTATTAATCACAATGACCGTGACCTCGAACGTCACGAGAACGACGATCGTCATCGATCAGTCTCCCAGGTGTCTAAGAACTCGATGAAAGGAGTTCAATGCAACAAAAGAGCAACCGTTTCTAGGGACATTTCACGCGAGAAAAAATCGTCCAAGAAGCGAAACGTGAAAACGATTACGTTGACGGAGAAGGATTTTAAATCGGTTATCAGAAATCATGTATCTAACGACGATTTCTGGGAATTCGAGGAGGATGCGGATGAAAAAGAGCCGTTGGAGGGTATTTTAGTCTCTCAGTTGCCGTATAAACCGAGAGCTGATATAGGGAATTTGGAAAGGGTCAGTGCGGATGAATATTGTCCTCTGAGCTTGGAGGACGAGACTTCTTGCGATGAAACGTTTAAGTGGCCTTGAAAATTTAACGATAATTTAAATTTAGAAAATTTAGTAAATTTAATAAAATGTAACGTATTTCGTTTATGTGAAACAAGTAGAGGAAAATTAGTTAATATTAGATATTTCTGGTGTAGAAGTGTTGAATTGTTGGAAAAAATATTGAAACACTTCGCAAGTATCGCAGTATATAAGTATATTAGAATGACTCATTGATAATAAATGTATCAGCATCGATTTTCATGGAAAAGGTCATGAATACATTTTAAATATATTAGTACAAATTTGAAGTTGTTTGATCCATGCATTAATATCTGGATTCCTTAAAATATAGTTCCTTAAGATGAAATATAATTGTTCATATCTTCCTGTTAAAAGATTTTAAAATTTAACTGGATTATCATTATTTTAGCATATTTATCGAATTTAGAATTTCACTACGAGAAAGTGATTGATATCAGAAAGTTGAATAATGTTAAATATTTTAGATATTAAGTTAAAAGAAAAAAAAAAACAGTTTTGCAAGCAAAAGTAGAATTAATAGAACTTCGTATTAATATTTCCTACAAAATTTCGAACGAATACTTCGAAAATATATTCCTATTTAAAAATTGAGAAGTTTTATTAAAAAATATCTTAGATTAAACTATATCGTATAATTTCTCGAGTTATGACTATGCATTATTCGCAACAAAAGAAATTGTTGAAAATAAACATCATCGATGAACAATAATTTCACGGTCGCCCATTTTTGCGCGATTTAAAAAAAAAAAAAAAGAAGAGAGAGAAGAATCGCTTTATAAATAAGAATGTAGACATAATACATCAAAGCTATATTGACTTCTTGCTCGGTCGAAGAAATCTCGGCAGGAGATTGCAAAATGTGCCTCGTCACTTCAAGTGTACAATGCGATTCCTCTTTCGATGAAACTTCTCGAGCTGTGCCGCGTGAAAGAAGTTTCCTTTTTCGAAACTCCATTGCGATTAACGACACCGTTTTGACTATTAATCATGTGTGCAATTCATTATGAAAGAAAAGAAACGATGATCTGGGTCAATGTTAACTAGCCCCAAGTTTCCGGTGCTCGAAGACAAAACTTCAAAGGTACGAAAAAAAGGCTTGCAAAAGATGGAGGAATGTAAAGGAGACTATAATCGGATTAACCGATTAAACCATGGTAGAAAAAGCGTATCGTTTATATACGGCAAGGAAGGAATGTATTGCCTTCTTAATAACTTAATCGCCTTCCATAACGAGAAGGGTTAAACAGAGAGTAATCATAAAAAGCTGATAATGTGTGATGGTTCCTGTGCTCTAATGCTGTAAAAAACGATAAAAGTGATGGGATGAAGTACATCGCAAATAAATTCGAATCTAACTAAAAGTTTCATGGTGAATTCCATGGTGAAACATTTGTACTTTGAAATATATTTTTAAATTCAAATTTAAATTAGAATGATATTAATCTATTAAAAAAATATCTGGTCCAATTTTTTCCCTATATCAAGTATAAATTAAACATACAAAAATACCGAAATAAAATAAAAATACCGAAATAATATTATCGCGAAGAAGAAAAAAGAAATAATGTTTTAACCTATCCTAGAACAAAGATCGATCAAAAATACTGAAATTAACATATAAAAGAATATGAAATCGAATAAACCGAGGAATAACCTCATAGCTTTCTATTTAATTACCACGAACGAACGTATCAATTAACACGAACCAGTTAATCTCTCTTTCAGATATCCAAGCAGACTCCGATATAATGACCGAAGCTGCTATTAACAATATACAGTTTACTTTCCACCACAAAACATCAAACATTCGTGACTAAGATGGGCCGAGGAATCAAGGCCACGGTGGTGTGGCCTTTGACCCCGAAAAGCGGAGGCCTCGTATAGCGGAGACTAAGCTGCCGTGAAAGTGCAGAGAAATTTGCGATTTACGAGGTATCCAGTGCGCGAGCTTGTGGACCGCAAGGGAAACTGAATCGCGGCAGAGGGAGCGTGATGAAAATTCCCGTATTTTTGTATCATTGTTCGTTCACTCGCCTCGTCGCAATTTTTTCGCTCGATAAGCTATCGCGCTTCCGTGCATTAAGATTATTGTTGACCGGTTTAATGTTATGAGTATATATATATATATATATATATATACACACACGACGACCTAAGTGA